AAAAAAAAAAAAATGTTCTCAGCGTGTCCGTGAAGGGGACCCCCCGTAACCCAAGCCTGCGCCGGAAAAATTGAAAAAAGGGGGTCCCTTATTTTTTAACCCCCCCTTAAACATACCCCAATTTGGACCCCCCCATTTTTAACTTTTTTTCATTTTATTCTTTGCGGGGGTTTGCTCGCGCCCCCGGAATCCCGACGCCGACTTCCGGTACCCCCTCCCCCGCGCCCGCGGCACGCCCTTTTTGACCGTGACCGCCGCGGTCATGACCACGGTGGCCGCGGTCATGCCCGCGGTGACCGCGGCCGCCGGGGATACATAGGCGGGCGCGTCTTCGGCTCCGAATGTTCCATTTCCTGAGGTAGTGCACAGCTGCGGGACGTCTTCGGGTCACATAGTGTGCGTGGTGTCCAGTAACAACGCTGAGCAGCGGACGTGTCTTTGGCGGCTGCGGCAGGAGCGAAGGTGTAGCGGGTGAGCGATTTGCGGAGATGAATGGCGGCAGCTGCGGCCACGGTCTGCAGGAGGAAGAGATGGAGGCGGTGGTGATGGCGGTGTCTACCGTCGTCCTGAAGACGATAAACGAGATGTCGTCGTCGTCACGAGACGTGGCGAAGCAGCTCCGTAAACGACGAGCGTTGTTGCAGAGCGTTGGCGAAGCGGCGGATTGCGTGGCGACGTGTGAGGCAGTGGTCTACTTCTGTGTCGCGCTGTCGTCTGGCATTTTTCCCTGGCAGACCCCGCGATGGTGGATTAAACGACGTACTGGCGGAACATGGGAGGACCTCCGGCAGTGCGATGACGCCACGGACGAGTACTACCACCAAAAGTTGCGCATGTCGATGGCCATGTTCAAGCAGATCGTAGTTGCTCTCGCCTCGTTTGTGGAAAAGAAGGTCACGCACTACAGGACGCCATTGCCAGCGGAGCAGGTTATCGCTTTCGCGTTGTACAGGTGGGCGTCCGGGGAGACGTACGAGAGTGGCAACTCAGCCTTCGGCATCGGCAGGGTCACTGGACTGCAGGCCGTCCGCGACGTCACTTCGGCGCTGTTGCGGGCGTACCCCGATGCCATCAAGTGGCCAGTGGGCCGCAGACGTGCGCAGATTCTCCGCGCTTTTCGTGACAAGGGATTCTTGAACTGCTTCGGCGCCATCAACTGCACACACATCTACATCGACAAGCCCGCCGGCGCACCTTCCACCACCTACTACGACCGCAACCACAAGTTCTTCGTGCAGGCGCAGGTCGTCGTGGATTTGGATCTCCGGATCCTCGACGTCCACGTCGGATACCCGGGGAGTGTGCACGGCGTCCGCGTCCTGCACAATTCCCATCTCTGGAGGCGCGCTGTCGGAAGACAGTGCAGCGCAGCAGTGGAAAATGACTCGCCGCGGTCAAACCCCATGCTGCATCAAAATCGCGCCTAGGGACGTCCACGGTCATGGTCAAACTGGACCCTAACACATCGATTAGATTTTCCCTAGGCCGAGATCAAAGAAAAGACGGTGCGGCGGTACGGTCCCTCGAAGACCTGAATCGTCCCCGTTGGACTGGACTGACGCGACCGCAATGGGCCAATTAGTGGGGTCCGGTCCAAACGGCACCTGAAACGGACTAAGGGTTAGTGAGATATTCAAGTTTGACTGGTCGGGACCGGACCGGCATGCCCGCATAACTTGGCCAGAAAAGGAACAGCCCTAAGAAGTCATATAGATGAACAGTCAGGCCCGAGTAATTAAGATAGGGTCATGTGCTATTTTTAGCACGAGACTGACTGTTCGTCTCCCAAAGTTGGGCCTGCACCAGTCCCGTTCAAAAATTAGCACAGTCCCACGCTATTTTTAGCATGAGACTGACTGTTCATCTACCGGGGATTGGGCCTGTGCCAATCCCATTCTAAAATTAGCACAGCCCCACGCAATTTTTAACATGAGACTGACTGTTTGTCTACCAGGGACTGGGCCTGCGCTAGTCCCGTCCTAAAATTAGCAAAGCCCCACGCTATTTTTAGCATGGGACTGACTGTTCGTCTACCGGGGACTGGGCCTGCGCCAGTCCCATTCTAAAATTAGCACAACCCCACTCTATTTTTAGCATGGGACTGACTGTTCGTCTACCAGGGCCTGGGCCTGCGCCAGTCCCGTTCTAAAATTAGCACAACCCCACGCTATTTTTAGTGTGGGACTGACTGTTCGTTTGTCGGGACTGACTGTTCATATCCCGAGGTCGGGACTGCTGCTATTTATAGCATAGGCCCGATCTAGAGTTTGACCACAGCCTCGACCATGGGACTGCAGCACTCAGCCCCGATCACCTGGCCTTTCCATTATAAAAGAGAGGCCACGTCACCGAAGAGAACAGATCAGTGTGCGACAGATCAGCATGCGTGACACACGTGGCACGGATCATACTATTAGAGAACCCTCACCTGCAGGAGCGCTATAGCCTTGGCGGAATGGCAAGGGGCGGAAGGCACGAACGAAAGAAAAGCGACTTGCCAGCAGGAGCATGAGAGGAGCACAGAGCAGGAGGCAAGAGAGTCAAGCAGAAGGCAAGCCAGGGAAAGGATAAGGAAAGGGGGGGGGCAAGACTGGCCCCTCACTTTCCCTTTCTCATCCTTTTTCTTCTCTCTCTTCTCTTCTTCCCTTTCACTCTGAGTCCCTCATCTTTCCAACCGCCTCCATGGGCTGTGTACGTGCTGTATCTGATCTGTGCGCAAGCCTTGTTGATTGGTAATGAATCGTGCGTTGACCTTGAGCTGAGCACTAAAGAGCACTGCACCTGATGGCTGGCTATGAACTGTGCACTCACGTGCTGTATCTGAGGGTTGACTTTGAGACCAGCGTCGACGAGCAATCAAATTGAGTCCGCTGATTAGTTGTGCCAAGAGTCATCGGAACTAAGTTTTCATAATCCTTTGCTTGGCTGTGTCGAGAAGCACTCAAATTGAGTATGCTGATCCACTGTCTGTATATCAATTTATTGTGCCAAGAGGGCACTTGATTTTAGCCTATTGATTGGCTGTGCCAGGAGGCACTCAATTGAAGTATGCCAATTTGCTGCGCCTAAAGAGAACTTAATCTGAGCATGCCCCTGCCACTGTGCGCATCTACGTGCGACACTGCGCAAAGTGTGATTTCACATAATCGATCTGCAAAGCCTTGCCAAAGTGATTTTGAGGGACTGCGACTGTGCGCACTCGGATTGCGACACTGCGCGTCCAACCCGCCACGACATTTCAATTTGTAGACCTTGCTTCAAGTGCGACATTGCGCTCTTTGATAAATGCAGGTGCTGTACCGATTTTGAGTAATTAAGTCGATTTTGAGACTACCTGCGTAGCCACACTGAGAAGCAAGCCAATCTTGAGACCGTTGTGAGGAAACCCGGGGAGGGGCGCCTACCGTTCGCCGAAGCCAAGGGCAACGGCGTCTGTCACCCGCCGCGCCCGCTTCCGAGGTCCTTGGCGACCAGCAGGAACCGAAACTTGCGGCGTCCTATCACGCTTCCAATTTTCTTTTTCTTTCTTTTTGTAATTTAGCAACTTCACACAGCAAGGGGTTTCGACGGTCAACTGGTAATACCACAAGTTCACACAACCGTAAGTTTCAACAGCCGACTGGTTTAACAGCTAATCAACAGTTCAGTGAGTTCACGCAACGGTGAGTTTCAATAGCTGGCTCGTAACTCAGCAAGTTCAAGCAAGAGTGAGTTTCAACAACCAATCGACAGTTTAGCGAGTTCCCGCAACAGTGAGCTTCAACAGTCAACTGGCAAATTAGCTACGGGCACAGTAGCGAGTTTTCGGAGTCAACCTTGGATATGCCCCCCCCGGTTCTCTTTTTCTCTCTCTCTCTGTTCTCTCTCTCTCGCTGTTCTCTCTCACTCTCTGTCGCTGTTCTCTCTCTCTCACTCTCGCTGTCCTCTCTCTCTCACTCTCCCCCTGTGATTGGTAAGCTTTGTATACTCCATCATGACACAAGGTGCGGGCCAGGTCCGTGCGCTGTCTCGAGTAAACAAATTAATATGACATAAATTTGGATGCACACGTAGACCCGTTCGTGTCTCCTCCACCCAAGGTCTTCCATGAGAGCTACCCACTTGGGTGTATCAACGGCCAGGTAATAGGGATGGGTACACTTCTATGCAGTTCACTCTTGCTCGATGCGGGTTGGGTTTCCCCCTGAAATGAACAAAAAGGAATATTGCTCCTTCGCTAGTGTATGAGAAGATTCTCAGCTATACCCCCTTTTTCTGTTGTGAGCAGTGACTCAATTACTCTTCACATAATGAGAAAGAGTAATGTCAGGGGATCGTTGAGGGTTGTACCTCGAGTATTCACCAATGCAGAGGAGCAATAAAATCTGATCGAAAATATTATTATTATTTATTATTATTATTATTATTATTATTATTATTATTATTTATTATACATATTGCGACCTATCAATCGAGCGGGGACTCCGAGTCCGTGTATCTCTGAAGATCAGCGAGTACGCTCTTCTTTCCTCTGTTTTGTCTCCCTATTCTCCCCCTCTTTCGTTGACCCACTCACTCACACTTTC